AGAGTGGGTTGTTTTTGAACTCAAATTTAGAAGTATCTTGGGACTTAGAAGAAAGATTCTTGATATTGTGAACAAGAGGATCAAAAGATATACTTGATTAGATTTGTTTTACAAGAGTCAAATCAACAGTCAACGTTGATTTCATTACTCAAAGATGAAAATGCTCTGGGTTCAAGAGTATTGTTCTTTGTTGATCAAAAGATGCATCTCCTTCTTTTGATGCAAGATAAGAATGTCTAGAAAGGGTGTCTGACAAACCTTGTTGTTTTTCAAGTCGATATGTGATCTTGAAATCAAATCTTGATAAGGAAATGTTCCAACGGGCTTGGAGATGATTTAAAACATGTGCTGATATGAAGTACTCAAGATTCTTATGATTCAAATATACGGTGATTGGATTAGAAGTGCCTTCTAGATGATGATGCCATTCTTGAAATGAATCCATAATTATAAGAAGCTCTTTGATCAACAAAGCACCTTTGTTGTGGATTTCATAGTCAATCTCGACTATTGAAAATTTTCTTGAATGAAAAGCTACTAGGTGAAGTTTATCATCTGTTTCCATTTGTGATAATACAACACCCAAAGCAAAGTCTCATACATTTGTTCCTATTTGTGATAATACAACATCCAAAGCAAAATCTAATACATCTATTTCCATAAAAAATACCTTAGAAAAGTTGATGCGATATAAGATTGATGCAAAAATAAAGGCTGACTTTAAAGTTTCAAAAGATGTTTCAGCTTCTTTATTCCACTGAAGTTTGTCTTTGCAAGTCAAACGTGTAAGTGGAGCTGCAATTCGAGAGAAGTCTTTGATGAAGATCTAATAATAGTTGGCAAAGCCCAAAAAGCATTGGACATCTCTTACCGTTTTTGAAATCTTCCAATCCATAATTATTTGAACTTTTTAGGATCCATCATAAGTCCTTCATTTGAAATGATATATCCTAAGAAATCAACTTGAATAGTATGGAATACTCACTTTTGTAACTTGGTATAGAATCCTGTATCTCTTAATTTTTGTAACACATGATGAACAAGAAGTTCATATTCATTTATGTTCTTAGAATAGATTAAGATATCGTCCACATAATAAACAACAAAATCATCTAAAAACTCTCAAAAAACATCATTCATTAGATGTTGAAAAGTTGTCAGTGCATTTGTAAGTCCAAAAGGTATGATGTTGTATTCAAAATGCCTATACCTAATTCAAAACGTAGTCTTCTATTCATCTCCTTCTTTAATACGTACTAGATTGTATGTTCCTTGTAGATCTATTTTTGTGTAGATCTTAGCTTGATTCAGTTGATCACAAAGTCCGGATATCAAAGATAGAGGGTACCTATTCTTGATGGTGATCTTGTTGAGTCCTTGATAATCAACTTACATCTACAATGACCTATCTTTCTTCTTCACAAATAAGATTGGAGCTCTTGCTGGTGATTTGGAATGGCGTATGAAATTCTTGGCTAGATTCTCTTCAATATATTCTTTAAGTTAAGCCAATTCATTTGGTGATAAACTATAGATTGGTCCAAATCGTGGTTGTGTTTCTTCTTGAAGGTCAATTGATCTGTTATAGGAACAATGTTCTAGAAGAGTATCAATATTCTTCTTCTCAAATACATCTTGAAATTCTTGATATTGATTGGAAATACTACTTAAAGTCTTTGCATCATTAGAAATAGATGTGGCATAAATGACACAAGGTGATCCTTCTTTTGCAACATGCAAAAAACGTCTTGCACCAACAAACATAGGTTTAATTGTAATAGACTTATGACTTTCTACTAAATTAATTTTACTCTTAATTATGCTTTTAGAGAAGTTAAGGATACAAGAAATCCAATCTATGCAAGGATTATATTTTTTTAACCATGATAAACCTAAAATGACTGGATTAGAGGCAGATCTAATTGTATTAAAGATTACGAAACTACTATGACGATTTATTATTACATCTATAGAAAGAATTTCATGACTAACATCTCTAGAAGATAACGGATGACTATCTATGACTTCTATATGAATATGTTTGATTTTTTGTACTAATGATATTTTATGACTTTTAACAAATTCTATGTCTAAGAAATAAGCTGAGGCTCCTGAATCTATCAAGGCAGAGGCTTTATAATTATTAGGTCCTAAATGCACATCAATTATAAAACAAGGAGAGGGTTTTGAAGAGAGGATAGGACCTTCATTAGAAATTGTATAAGATTCCAGCCGCACGGTTCCTATTGTAGTTGGATAAATTTGTTTTCCAATACATTGTCTTCTTTAACATATGTGCTCCTCATTTTGTGATTTCATTGCTTGTTTGGATAATATTGAGTAGTGTATGTAGGTTCTCTATAATATAAGCATAATCCTTCTTGATGGCGATGAATCTTTTCTTGCTCAGTAAGAGGTTTACAACGTACCACATTAATTTACATATCCTTTACTTCTGAATATATGTGTTGAGGAGATGTTGGTCTTGCCATCGAATTGTAGTAATGTTGAGGCCTATTTGTACGACTCTCAGATCAAAATTCAAAAAGTCGATTGCCACATTCGACAACAAAGTCAATTTTTTGACTCAATGTTTGAAGATTAGGTAAGTTGAGTATCAATTTCTTTACTTCATATTGTAATCCATAGAAAAATTGGCTAGTAAATGCAGCATTATCCTATATGATATCAGTTGTAAGTTGTCAAAAATGTGAAGCATATAACGTTATAGATTGATTACCTTATCGCAAAATATGAATCTTGTTGGTTGCAACATAAGTTGCATCATGTTCTCCATACATATATCATAATTTTGCTAAAAATGCCTCTAGATTATTCAATATTGGATTTCATCGTTCAAGAAAAGATAAAAATCACAATAGTCCTGAACTTGAAAGAAGTATACCAATGAATCTAACTTGTGATCTTGGAGTTGGATAGCTTTGAGGTTGAAGTTTAATAATAAGTTGTACTTGATTGATAAATCCTAAAAATTTAAATCTTGTACCATCAAACTTCTTGGGCATGGCAACTCTTGGTTCTCTAATACTTGAAGGACGTTCCACTGTAGGTAGAGGGACATGATTTGGTGCAAATGTTGAAGCAGCTCTAATCATCTCTATATCATCACTTCTTGCCATTCTTGTTGATCCTTGTTATAGTAAGCTAAGTTAATGCATTATAAGCATTAACTCCTTTAATTGCTCTTGCATTTGTATCATTGCACTTTTCATTTCAACAAGCTCTGCCATAATAACACTCAAAAAAATATCTAATACCACTAAAGACAAGTAGAAAAAAGGACTTAAAGACAAATAAAATACTAAGAACAATATCAGTTTAGAAGAGGATAATTTGTAACTTCTAATATGCTTATGTCTTATCATGAGAAAGAGGTAATTCACTCTTAATCAAGATAAGACAAAGCTTTGATATTATAAGTATATTCTTTTCAATCTATCTAGGACATGAATTAAAAGATGATGCATAAACCAATGAAATTCGTGTAAAATAAAAAGTGACAAAATAGAAATAAGGAAGTACATATATTAAAAGAAACTACAAAGACTTATTGCCAAAAGACAAAAAAATTTGAGACTCTTGAAACTAAACTAAAAGCAAGAAAAGAGTTGACAAGAGTGAAGAGGGCTTTACTCTTATCTCTATATATTCTATTTAACTAGGGGCTATGTAGTGATATTCTATAGGACCTCCAATATGTGTTGACTTTATAAGACACATGCCTTGACTTACAAGGCAAGTTTTTCTACGTGTGGGCCACATAATTAGCTTGGTCTTCAAGCTAACAACATGTGTGGCACATGGCTAACTTGTTGACCACGTTTCTAATCCAAAAAGTCAATTAAAGACACCTATAAAGTCAAAGTAGCATCTATAAAGCTTCTAGGAAGCTTCTATAGAAGATATTATAGAATTAACTTACTTTTACTTCTACTTACTTCCACTTATGTAATTATTGGCTTATATACATATGTCTGTGACACCATATGCATTGTTTAGTAAAATTTACAAGTATATATTATTATTGACATGTTACTATTATATTTATTTTTTTATTTATTCAAATATATATAATTATAAATAATTTTAAATCAATAAGTACTTTGAATTTTATAATGAGAGATAATTATAATAAATTTTAACATTTTTTTATTTAAAATATTAATTCAAAAAGAAAGAATGAAGGAAAATATTTTTAGATAGCACAATATCTTAATTAAAAATTAAAAATCACTTCAAAACCTTATCTAATTTGTATTGAATGAATCAATTAAATAAAGAATGATGTATCATTCTTTAATAATAGAATTATGACAACATTAATTTATATAGTATTAAAAATAACAAGATATTTTTTAAACATGTGCTAAAATTATGAAAACTATTTTTAAAGTATTACTTTGGCAATATATAAAAACTTTGTTTTATTACTTTTAAAAATATTTATTCAATAACTTTTGTCACATCTTCTATCAAAAATTATACATAAGATATATGTAGATTGAGTTCAAACTAAGTTGGTTCTACTTCATAATAAATTAAACTTTATTGTCAAATTATATCATAACAATAAACTCTATTTTATATTGTATTATTTTGAAGAAATTTCTTCAAAAGTATCTGAATAAATAATTAGTAATTTTAATTAAATCTATATATGACTAAAGCATTGACTTATATTATTAAACTATTGCATGATTTTTATCACTATTTTGTGTCTAGGTCTGATTGAATCTTTCATATTTAAAGATACTCTAAAAATATTATTCAAAACAAAACAAAAATTTATCTAATCACTATCTATCACACAGTTATTTGACATATATGTTAAATTTCAACATTTCTTTGACATTTTTTTTTACTATTCACCGAATTATCAGGCATAGTATTAAACCATCAATATAATACTAAAGCTCATGTTCAGCAAAATTATTGTATTTAATACATGTACAATGGATCCAAACTAAAGTTGATACTGGTTCAAACAATCCCAAATAATTGATACAATTGAATGTAAGAAAGTCCATTAATCATTTGAACAGGATCCACAACTTAGTGTTTAGAAACAGAGGCATATCATGGGAGAAGAGGGAAAAAAGAGAAACATCGACCGACATCAGAAATGGTCGGTAGCTACTCTAAACATGTCGGTCGCTTTTCAAAAGATACTGGTTTTGGTTGATAGCGATGGGATCATCTAGTGAGAAAAGCACCTTCTTGTGAGAATAGAATGAAGTCCTGCTGGTGCTGTGAGCAAATTGTCGGTCGTGAGAAATGGCTACAAATCAACACCAGGTTTCCAGGATCAGACGTATTAGAATCAACAACCACAACCAAATAAAATTGAACATTATAAATTTTATTATAAATCTCAGTTTATCCACACGTCTTTGGTCATCATGAAACAAAACAACACGTTGGGACAGCATGAAATGCAACACGGCAACACCGATCTATCTGAACCAGAGTGGTGCTGCCTTGGTATAATACCCAACGATTAGAACCCTATTTTGCAATCTTTCGACCCTTGTTTCCATTCAGGACTAGTCTTTCTGCTGCGAGAGCAGTACCTGGGCTGAGACGTCTTGTCTGTGAGAATGCTCTCGATTTACATGTTACTTTGCCGTTGCCAGAAGCTGATAAATGCAAGCCGATATCAAAAAGCTGACCCACTAAGTCGTCGTGAGGTATAAGTGACACCCTTGCCCTGTGTTGGGACACAAGAAGTACCAGAAGCTGCCGCCGGGATCGAATGTTCCATCGGAGACTTCATGTGGACCGGCAAGAATCATGCTACGGAACTCCCACCGCTGCACTTGATAATGTAGAAGTGACGCAATGGAGAGCCAACTGCAGAGTAAGCAGGCAACGTAAGCCCAATATGTCACAACCTCAACCCACGACTTCAGTCGTTCTCTTGTTCTCAAATATTCTCCTGTTCTTTGACATAAAGTGTCAATCTGGCCACAGGAATGGGACACCCCAGAAACAGTCAAGCCTACATTGCAGTCGAATCAGTGAAGAAGAGGTCAGGGGAGAAAATGAACGTCCAGGTTCCAGATGGTTGGAATGCATGTGTCAAGGATTGATTACTTACCCAATATAGGCCGCGTACAGCAATGGCTGTAATTGCAGAGAATAAGCTCCAGTGTCTAAGATTCAAGCTCCGAACTATAACGTGTCCTTTCCTCGCTGCTCTGTCAAAAACCATGCGAATCGAAATCCTAGTCAAAATTCAATCTCAAAGTTACCTGATAATTAAGTGAGAATGATGAAATGCAGGGGGTTACTAACGTACCCTTGATGTCTTCAATGGAACAAAGCTCATCAACCATAGCTGCACCACCTCTAGGAGCAGTCGACAATCCTTTCAAGCCTCGGGAACTCCATCTGTGACCCACAGTGATGCCGATGTCAACTTTTAGACACAACACTCATCGCAATTAGACAAAAGTCCTTCACCACACACTATGTAAAACAAAAAACTTCACAACGACAATGCATGGTTTTCAAAGGGAGGTGACCGGGCTTAAACCTATGCGAAGATGTCGGCGGTGATTGTAGAGAGGAGGTAACCGATGTAGATGCCACGCTTGATTCGGTAGACACTTCTACTGAGGCAAATTGCGGAAGGCGACGCCATTCTCTTCGAAATGTCCATGTCAGAAGTGGAGTTGGCAAAGGCTTGGAGAAAGTGAAAACAGGGGGAATTTTCATTACTTTCTTATTCAAGGCTATGTGAGCTTGCTTCAATTGCTCCTTGAAGGAAGTAACCCTCGTGGCCGACACTCGTACCGGCAGAGACCTCATCTAAAAAAGATTACAAAAATGCAACGTCACCGCCTGCTCTCTCGTACACATAAAGAAATCAATCCCACTACACACCACCTAGCTACCAGTCACCATCCCACAACCCTCCCTGCTACCAAAAGACTGAAAGAAAACAAGAATCATGGTTTCACAGAATCAAGCCAGATAATATTTGCTTCTGCACACACAGAGGCTACTACAACCATCACCATTACCTACGTGACCAGCGTATTTCGCTACTATCCTACACATCCCCCATCACTGCTCTTATAACATATTCACAACCCCTCCGAGTAAACTAATCCAGCGACCACACGCCACTACACAAGACCGATCAAACCAGCGGAGAGGGAAAATTAAAATACAAAAATAACAGAAAATAATAAAATCCCACGGAAACCAATCCCACACGACACGTATAACTTCGAAGGACGCCACCGTCACTGTTTCTACAACCCATTAGCGGCTCCAGAATGATCTGCTACCTTCGCTACGCATTCGTCAAAACAAGAGGCGGGATCGATAGATAGGCTGCGGTCATTCACAAATTGAACCAGGAGGCGAGCGATGGATTGGGCGAAGTGGAGCTGGACCGCCAAGTGAGACACCACGTGGCGTCGTGGTTCCTCGATCGTCCTCGACCGCTGCTCTTTCTTCATTCCCGATGTTTCACCTATTTGCACTTTTTCGGAGCTCTTTTCATTTTGTTTCGTTTTCTTTCTTGTTTTGGCTTTCTCCGTTGTTTTTTTTCTTTTCTTTTTTCTTTTCTGCCTCTTTCACGAGAATAAACAATTTAATAAGATTGACTACAGCAGGTGTGTGGTAGTTGAGGCTATTCTTAGGCTGGAATATGGAGCGCTACGTCGGGATGGTTACTCCAGGGAAAGAAAGGTCTGTAGGCTTCCATGTGTCTCTCATTGTCTTCCCGAATTCAGGCGTTGCAGTTGGGCATTCAGGCAAGCCACGGAGAAAGTACTGGGATGCCGAGAACAGGGCATGGGTATTTTGTTTTTTATTTTTTATTTTTTATTTTTTATCCTTGTTGTTTAGACCCAATTGCTGAAATGGCTCACTTGAACCCAAATAGTTTTTTCCACGAAAACCTAGTTCAACGTATCAGACACTCCAGAAGTGGGTTGTCAGCTAAAATCAGTAGGATTTGTGCGTGGAGCAATTGAGGTGATAAAGTCGATTTTAAACTCGTTTTTCTTTCTCCGCTTAGCATTAATTGTGAGGAGTTGTTTTAGTTCATTGGGTTGACGTTTCGTACATTCTGAATGTTTATTTGGAAGCAGGCTAGTGGATGCATCACCGGAATTCAGAACTACTAGTGCTAATTTTCCACTTCCCTCATCTGTGTTGTCTTCCTTTTTGCTTTGATGTCGTTCCCAGTTAGGTAGGAAAGATCTTGATGTCGTGATGAACATTGCTCTGCAGTGCTCAAGAGATTCAATGCCTATCCCTGGAATCTGGAACCTCCCCCCCCCCCCCCCCCCTTGCTGGTATCCAAATTCATTAGATCCACAAGCAATCTCCCTTAACACATGTAATCAGAACACAAACCAAGTGGAAAGAAACGCTTGCTTTGTCCCTCTGAAACTTCCACAGATTGTTTGCATCGTTTATGACGCCATTGATGAGAGAAACTTGAAGAGCTTGCTCGTGTTTTGATCTTGTTTATTTTCTCCATGATTCTATGCAGAAGACGCTGATAGGCGAAGAGTCCATGTAGACGCACGACATAATCTGGTGCTTTCTCGCGGATAGTCCCTTGCTTCATGATTCCAGTCGCGATGTGCACGCTCTTTCTTCCGTGGCTCATGAGCTCCTTCTCCGCCGTCACGCTTGCAGTGCAGCAGAACCCATTGCTCATCATCCTCAGAATCTCCCTCTTGTCTACTGACCAGAAGTGGCTGAACCCATTTTTATCCTCTTAAGCAGCATCACCTTCAGTGTGGTATCAGAAAACTGCAGGTTGTGTGACTGACAAAATGGAAAAAAATCTGTGCATGTTTGAGCTACAGAGCGAAACATGGACAGGGAATCTGATCTGGCGATAACCGGCCCATCTAGAACTTGTTTACTGGTCCACGACACGATGCAGTGTGGCTGTGGCTCTGAGAAGCTCATGCCAAACTCTGCACAGAGTCTTCATTCAACATGTGAACAAGCTTCATTTGAACTCCAAAGGCGCCGTCGGGGAGATGGGTCGTGAACTGGTGCACCCAACTCGTGGAGTGTCGGTAGCATTAGTCAAAATGCTGGGCACCACCGACAAACACAAAGATGGGATCTTTGATGTTGGTTTGTGCAACTACCGCTGCTAGTGGATTTTCGTATTCTTTTTGACATGAGCGAGGTTTCTGGTTGTTTAGATTAAAGAGGGAAACATGAACAGTGTGCTCTAATACCTCTCTTTGAATTGAGAAGGTAGGCATAGGGGCAAAGAAATCATAGTACATTGTACATTGATACCTAACCTACAAAGTTATTTCAAATGTATGGAAAACATGGCCACCATCAGGTACTTTACTTCACCTCTAGGTTTTCATTTCATCTTTAGAATCTGTTTATATTTTTGTCATCCAAGATTTATTTCATGTAGTAAAGAGTGTAGATAAAAGTTTTTGGTTCTTGTTTAAGTTTTTATTTTGAATTTTGTTTTGGGTATTGTTTTCATCCTTAACAATTGTACTTTAGAAGACTTGTTTATATTAGTTGTAGCACATGTTTGTTATCCCAACTCATTTTTGAAAACACAAGAGGTAATGTGTGTATTCCTTGACTAAGGTCTAAAAGCCTCTAAACTTCGTGAATCAAAAAAAATATACCTACATACAATTCTTTCAACAAGATAAAAAAAAAAATTAAAAAATAAAAATGTTGCAAAAATAATCTTATTTTACCTTTACTTTTTAAAGTTAGCCAAAAGTTTTTGAAAAAGAGACCTTGTCTAATTCTATATTTGTTTTACTTGAAAACACTTCTAAAACATGTACATGATTATTCTTATTTCTAAAGAAAAAGAAAAGAAAAAAAGATACAATGTAGAAAGCTTTTAGAATTTGATTTAATCCTCTACTCATTTACAAATTCTTTTATATTAGGCCAATCATATCATTACAACATTTTTTTGTTCAAGTTAAAAAACTAAAATTCCTTCTACATAAGTATAACTTTGAAACTTAATTTAATTGACGACTTGATTTGGAATAGCTTCTATAGTTAATGAAAGATTTGTAGAAATTTCTTATCTATCATAATAATAATAATAATATATATATATATATATATATATATATATATATACTTCTATTTTATTATGTCATAATATATGACATCTTCCTAGGATTTTAAAATGTATAATAATTTACTAAACTATGGTTTTATTATGCAATTGTTATACATTTACGAGTATGTATATGATTTCTTTTGAAAATTGTATTACCTTAAGTGTCTTAAAATAATAATCTACATTTATATCTATCTTATAAGTTAGAAGTTTTATTTTAATTCTTAAAAACTATTTCTTTCTAATAAAAAAATGTAAGATTGTACATCCACTTGGAATATTTAAACTTTATTTTTATATATATATTTAAAATAATAAAGTTATAATTATATCTGGTAAAGAATCCTAAATTTATAAACTAACATTTAATATGGTATTCAAACTTAGAAGAGAATATTCTATCTAATATTTTATTTTAGATATTTTTACACTATTACAAAAGATGTTGATTGATCTATTTAGAAGTGAATTAGTCATATGATGTCTTAAAAATATGTTTAAATATATATAAGATTAAATTATTTTAAAACCTCATTCTTTCTAAAATAATTTTGAATATGAATGTAATAAATATCCATAATTTGAGGCATTCCTTGTTTATAAATTTTTACATCTTGTTAAGAAGTTAGATCTATTTTAAGTAGAAGAATCTTCGAAGTCTATAATAACAATTGATTACAATGCATGATAACTTTAGTAATTTAAACTATAATTCTTTTTCTTAATTTATTATGATTTATAGATCTAAGATGCTATTTGTATTCTTCATGACAATGCCAAAGTCAAAGTATTATAGTATATATTCATTGTTTCTTCTGTTTTTTAATTCTTTAAAAACTAATAACTTCAATTATTTATTAAAATTTTAAAATTGATTTTATTCTATAATACATTATTAATAACCACTCATTTTTATACTTTATTTATTTATATTAAAATTTATTAATTAAGAAAGATAATTAACAAAGACCATACAATTGGCAAGGTCTTGTAGCTGTATCAAATAAGATAAGACAAGGCTACATGGCTATATGTCATTAAACAAGGTAAGGCCATGTGGTTGCCAAAGTAGAGGCAATTAGTCTAAATTGTAGGATCCTAGCAAGAATGATTTTCATCTTACTTTCAATGTCCTTTTTTGAAAAACATATCTATCTAATTTATTTCTACATACTTTTATTTATTTCTACTTACTTCATTGATATGTGTATTTATAAATCAAATAAAAAAATATGAATATAGTTATTTATTTATTTATAAAAAATAGAACTTAAAAAATATAGTAGACCAATATGTATGTTCACATTAAGAACTTGATAATATATTATACAACAAATGTGTGGTAACTTTATATTTTTTTATGTTCTATATTTGAATTTTAGTTAAGTTTTAGAAAAATAAATTACATTAACTAAAGTTTTGTAAAATCATTTTTTTAGATACTATAATCATATAACTATACTTAAAACATTTAGCAAAAATCATGAACCAGAATATTTTAATAAAATTCAGCCAATCATATAGCAAGTTCTTACAACATCTACATTAATATTATTGTATTATAGTCTAATAATATAAAAGTTATTCATTTTCTATTAATAAAAAACAAACATGACTCAACAAGCATCTAGCTTTCTATTCTTGTATATATATATATATATATATATATATATGTAGACACACACACACAAACACACTAATCAATTCTTTAATTTTTAATTTTTTTATAAATAATACAATAACATCACCTTTAATTAACTACCAACCATATAGCAATCAGCAAATGAAATCATCTACATGATTGTTACACAGTTCTAGAAAACTAACACTTGATAAAACTCTGCATGAGTTACAGTCATCAAATTATAACTAATAATAGAAAATAAAAAATAGAAAATAAAAAACCACATTGTTTAAAACAATAACAACAATTTTTTCACAACATGGGTCTGCATTTCCACGTCGTGAGGTCCATCAGAGGATTGTAAATTAAGCTAATTGTCAATTAGCGATAATTAACCGGCACTAGCCGCTAATCTGATTAGAGGTGCTGATTTAACCCATGAAAAGACCCTATTAGATAGAGATCTGCGTAATTTCAAGCATGAATTTTGACACATTTTTTTACGTCTAATGTTGTTTAGAGTCGATGATTAGTGATGCTGTGGTTGACATTCTTCATATTCTTTGTAGGATTGGAAGCTTAATCCATTTTTAATTATTATTTTAATGGATTCTGTAGACCTGCACTGCAGGTACCTTTCAGTTCCACTAATTAATCAGCATATTTGTAAAAAAATTGGTCTGCAAAATGTTGAAAAGATACAACAAACAAAAAGCAAAATTAAATAAAATAAGAAAGAGAGAAGAGGGAAAACGTTTTGTGGTATGTTATTAGTGCACTTAACAAAAGCCTTAAATACAAGTATTTCTGTAGAGGTTGTATTTTGTATGTAATATGCTCGTAAGAGAGAAAATTATGTATCGAATGATTGTAGTTTTGATTTTACATTAAGATGTAAAATTATTTATAAAACAACAATTTATTGTATGGAACAATATTGCTTAATCAGACATATACGTAAGTTGTGAATTTATAATAAAAAATTTATTGGAAATTTTTAAATTAACATAAGATGAACATTTTTTTTTAAAGTAAAAAATATATAATTGAATGGGTTCATTGATTTTCATTAAATATATTATGTTGTATATTATTGAATGGTACATTTTGATGAATATCAGAGGATTCAATGTATCATAAGTATTTAATGTAGCAGATTTAAAATAAATAAATAAATAAATAAATCTTGTTACTACTATCATGCACTAAATGTCAATGTTTTTGTAGTTATATCATATGTGTTTGTAGCTGAATTCTTTGAATTACTGTCATTATTATGTCACAAGAAAATATGGTATTTTAAGTGGTCATTGTCATGGAAAAAATCCTCTCTTTTTTGTTATTGTATCTAATTAAATAAACATATAAAAGATATCATAAATACATTGTATTTTAAAGATATAATTACATTTTTACACATTTCTAAGTATAATAAATTAGTCCACCACTTGTATAATTTTTATAACAAATTTTGTGAGTTCCTTTTTTTCTTTTTCATTTTCTTTTCTCAACTGCCCACCAATTTTTAAATAATTAACTTGAAGTATAATTGCATTCTCAGACTATTTTGGTGCAAATATTCTCTCCACTAAAATTCCTAACCCCAATTATAACACCCTCTATCAACTTTTACAACTTATTTGGAACATACATACTATATGTTATTAAAAAAAAACAGTTAATAAAATTTTGATTAATTTTATTATTATCAATTTATTTTAAAAAAATTGGATATGTTTATTTTTAATCATTTCTAAAAATGGTCTTATATTAGTATTATGAATCAAACTTCTTAAATCAGAAAATTGCCAAGAAAATTTGTAAATAAACTAAACTTATTTATACAAATAAATTTTATAATTAATAAAATTTTAAGAAGCACATGGTAAAAGTTGTACCTTTTTATTTTTAGGTTTGATCTTTAATTCTTGATGTATTTATCTTTAAGTAAGTCTTTATTATTATGTCACAAAAACAAATACTAACAAGGCTTAATATATCTAAAACAATCGATATTTATAATTTAATTGCTTGACTTAATTAGAATATTATTATGGTCCTTAATTTTTTAATTATATTTTTGATTTATATCTTTATTTTTGCATATATTTAAAATCATAATCTGTCAACATCACATATATCATTTTTATTTGGGTTCCAGAGGTAAAATAAAATTTTTAATTTTTAATTTAAATAGTAGTTTTTTTTGTACTGAAAATTTAATTAGATCACATTGCATTTATGAATATAGTTTGAAACTTTATGTGTATAGTTTGAAATATGTTTTTTTAACTATACACATATTTCAACTTAAACAACGTATTTACAAAAGTGTAATATTTTGTAAGTATGTGTTCAATCAAAACATCTACAACATGAATCAATAAACATAAAAATATATACCTATATATATATATATATATATATAGATAGATAGATAGATATATAGATAGATGAATAAAATAAAACAAAATATTTTTGTTATTTTACAAAGGAGGAAGAACACAACATGTGTATGTTCTTTTTCTTTTACTTTTTTCAAAGAGTGTTGTTTCCTTAACAATAGAAGAAAAGCAAAGTAAAGAAAAGAAAGTTACATTCTTCTCATGCACAAAACTGTATACTTGGAGTTTCTTTCCAAAATCAAAAATTAAAAAACAATAAAAATTTCTATCTCTTTGATTTGTTACAATTGTATCTTTTTCCTTCGAAGGGTGGTTTAGGTTGCTTATAGCCATTAAATAAATAAAGTAAAGTAAAATAGAATAATGTTGGAGACTTGAACATACAACGTCAAAACTAAAACTTTTGAATCTTCCAAATTCCTTAATTAAAAGGACATTAAGATGGCAACAATTATCCTTAAATTTACCACTTACAATTGGTCCCCTCCAATTCTCAACAACAACAACAATTTATAATGACAAGCGTCCTCAAGCATAGAAAACAACAATCAAATGGAAAAAGGGGTACGAATTAGGGTTAAGTTGGAGGTTGAAGAAGGCTAGCCCTAATTTAGCCCTAATATTCGAGAATCGAGCACCCACTTGGTCGTGGACGTTGTTTTTTTTTAACTTACACCACTCGTCGAATCGCAAGCGCATTCGTGGCTCTGTTCGTGCTCCATACGGAACGACTCCAATTCAATCACAGCAGTTCAGTTTGCTTCTCTTCTCATAGCGATTCATTGTCTGCGTCAGATCACAATGAGTAACCCTTTACACCACGAGGCATGCTTCGATAGAGTAGTCTGCGTCAGTCCAGAATGTTAGCAATACAAAAGTTGCTGACAGATTGGTTTGCTCATACAAAGCATAAGCTCGAATTGTGAGTTCCATACGAGTTAATCATCATGTGTAGACAAGCTCCAGAGCAGGCCCGAAAGTCCTCGTAACCCTGGAAACCCCGTCTGTGGCTTCAGAATCAGTTACAAGGCGTCGAGGAAGGAAGCATACTCGTGCCCTGGCTTCACGTTTTAGAAGAAGATATCAACCGTGAGAGGAGTAGAACGTTCGCTCTGCAAGCAAACATGATGCGATGCCCGGAACGTTGACAACTGAGAATAAGAGCAGTTGTCAGCAAGGTGTGATGTAGTGAAGGAATGTTGTCCGAGGAGGAGGAGAAACTGAAGCATGTAGCGTTTCTCGAATGCATGAACCCAGGGGGTGGGAATTAGGACGCCTAGGCAAGGAAAACGTGGAGTCTCCAAGATTGAAATACCAAGTGGCAGACTGCGCGCATGCTGAGCACTAGCTTCTGACGCATTTGGCATTCCGTTGTTGGGAGGCGGGTCAATGTCGTTCTCTCCGCTCCTGTCGCTTGCCCAGCTCAGGCTCCGGTGCAATGAACCGCAGGACCCAGCTTTCAGTTGCAAGCGAAGCCCACGCTGTAGAGTGGAACGCCAAGATTAAGAAAAAAACCATTCCAGTTTTAGGAAATTTCGACCTTTGAGTCAGAGTGTGACTGATGATCTAGCTGGTCACTCAAAGCAAAGCATACTGTTTCGATCCATGAAAAGCATATATATATATATATATATATATGTATAATTTTCTATACGAACAACTTGAAGCTTCCTTCTGTACCACGATTCTGGGCATGAATCTTTTTTTTGGTCGTAAATATCTTTGTTCCTCATTGTATTTCGATTTTTAAAACGATAAACGCGAGAACTAATAAATAACAACGAAAGGATGTCTGGTCACTGAAATTTCATGTCAGTTCCTAAACTTGCTAAAGCCGTGAAGTTCTACGAAAGAAAAATAGATCAATTGAGAAAGTGTGAAATTGTCATGCACCCAACCTTCGATCTCTTTCGTAGATTTTTAGATTTTTAGATTTTTTCCACGACAAAATGGGCATTTTGTGTGGTCAAATCTCCCTGAATAATGTCCCAAGGTCGTGCTGGTCCAGTACTTTCTCCAGTCTATGAGGATTCCCTTGCATGCATCTATCCTTGATTGTACCGAGGAAGAAATGCATTCGCTGCTTTCAACCTAGCTCTGTCACTACACGCTTCTTCGCCACGTCTCCGAGATTTGCTGCAATCAGGCAAGCTTCTCTCATAGCCCTAGAGGTGGAGTTCGAGGGTTTGTGGTTTAGGGTTTGGGGCAAGGACGTGCCTCCCGACGAGCATTTGCTGATCGAAGTGGCTTGATAACTGCGTTGCGTGTACAGTCGAGGTGCACTGCATGCCCCTGTCATGTTGGTCCATGTGGCATGCAATGTCCATGTCCACTTCCGAGTCCTTGCTCAATGATCATTCCTCGGCTCGTCTATAGAATGTCTTCATTCTGTGGGATGCGCCTCGCCCAGTAAAAAAATTGATCTGATTTGAAGAGCTTCTTTTGGGTTGCAGGGCTTCGAAAATTTTGCGGAATTGTCTTGTGTTAGTTTTGTGGGTTTTCTGTTGATAGCGGTGAGTTCGTCGCTCTCCATTTTTTAATCTTTTGGGGATTGATTCGGTGCTGGGTTTTGCCGAGAGCTGATTCCCGGTGTCGAAGTGGTATGTTGGAGATGATGGGTGTGGGTTTGGTTTCCAAAAAGTTCGGTGCTGACGGAAGGCGGATAGTGTGTGAGTAGATCATATGGTCCACAGAAGTTTTGAAGACGATTTAGCTTGGTATTTGGAGAAGTTTGAGGATTCGGCTCCCATAGTCTTTTAAACAGCCGAAAATGAGTGAATTTCATTTTGAAATTGGGTCCAGTTTTAGGGAGATTTGAATTGGTTTGCACAGGTCCGGACAATCCGTTAGATCACGCCAGAGGTCCCTCGTTCAAGATGATGGCTTCGAATGATCGTTCTGAATCTTGTGATCAAGGATTTGTTAACACTATTTTAGTCGGAATGTATTAATCATTAATTTTGGTGTGAAATTGCAGGGGAGCTCTTTCTAAGCCAATAATGGGCCGCGTGACGCTGATTGAGTTGCTTGATAACTCTGCAGCAGAACATGGAGAGCAGCCCGGTCTTATTACAAGTGGGAGTCTACAATTGACACACAAGGAACTTCAGGACGCTATTGATAAAACTGCTATTCAACTTCGTCGCATTGGTGTGAAGCCTGGTAACTTGGTTTCACTCGCCTTCCCCAATACTCTTGAGGTACGATGCACCATCCGTGTGATATTAGTCCATGGTGTTTATCACATCTTTGATGAGCTGATGTATTGGTGGTCGCCATTCATTTGCCCTGAGATACGAATTAGTATGCCTGTGCTTTTTCGTTTCTTCCATTTTATTCTGTTTTCTAACTTTTCACTTCCTGGCATAGTTCGTGGTAGCCTTCATCGCTGTCACAAGAGTAAGGGCCATTGCTGCACCCTTGAACTCTGCCTACACTGAAGACGAGTTCAAATTTTACTTGGAAGATGCGAACTCCACTCTTCTGTTGGTACCCGGTGCTGAAGGAAACAAAGCTGCCGAAGCAGCCTCCAAGACACTAGGCTTACCCATTGCAGGAGTGCATTGGGAAAAAGGGAGCTCCAGCGGCGACGAAATTGTCCTGACGCCCAAGGATAAAGTTGAAGTTGCTCCAGAGCCTGAGGTATTGCTCCTCGATCCGTTTACATTCTCCTTTGCATATTGTCATGCTTGCGTCGAACATTGGTTGCGTCTTGTGTCTAACCTTCTTTTATATGCTGTAGGATGGGGCTGGTCCGAAACCAGATGAAGGCGATGAAGCTCTCTTCCTTCACACTTCTGGCACCACGAGCCGACCGAAAGGAGTACCACTCACGCAGAAAAATCTCGCTTCCTCAATCAAGAATATCATCGCTACTTACGAGCTGACTCCCTCCGACCGAACCTTGATTGTCATGCCCTTGTTCCACGTGCACGGCTTGATGGCAGCTTTGCTGTCCACTCTTGTCTCAGGAGGAGCAGCGGTCCTTCCCTCCGCTGGACGCTTCTCGGCGTCATCCTTCTGGAGTGATATCAGAGACAACCATGTGACTTGGTACACAGCTGTTCCCACCATCCACCAGATCCTACTCAAAGTTCACAAAAGCAAGCCTGAGAGCGAATATCCCAAGCTACGGTTCATTCGAAGCTGCAGCTCCAGTTTGGCCCCACCAGTCCTTGCCGACCTGGAGGCTTCCTTCAAGGCTCCTGTTCTGGAAGCCTATGCTATGACTGAGGCCAGTCACCAGATGACCTCGAACCCTTTGCCCCATCATGGAGTTCACAAGCCTGGAAGCGTGGGTAAAGCAACTGGGATTGAGCTCGCCATTTTGGACGACGATGGTAGTATCTTGAAGCCTGGGGAAATCGGAGAGATTTGTATTAAAGGACCCAACGTTACATCAGGCTATAAGAACAATCCCGATGCTAATCAGGTTGCGTTTGCGTTCGATTGGTTTCACACTGGTGACCGGGGTAAATTGGACGAGGAGGGATACCTATCCTTGACCGGTCGTATCAAAGAGCTGATCAACCGTGGAGGTGAGAAGTCACTGACACACACACACACACAGGAGAAAAAAATTAATTAAAAAAATTAAAAAAAAAGTATCAGAGTCAATTTTAGGGGATATTTTAAGGTAGTTGATTGTTCCTGGCTTAAACCCAGAAGACCATCTCTAAGCTCTAGATGAGCCTCTGTTGTTCGAGAACTGAGCCAGCATTTGAGTTGGCAGAGGCTCTTCGATGTAAGGTGAGGTTTGCCGAAGCTTTATTTCACAATTGTGTTGACCTTATGAGCACAGAAACTGAGCAGTTGGCAGTGCTCTTTGTGCAGGAGAGAAAATTTCGCCGCTGGAGATCGATGCTGTTCTGCTTGCTCACCCAGCAGTCTCTGAGGCAGTTGCCTTCGCTGCTCCTGATGATCATTTTGGAGAAGAGGTATATATTGCAATTCAACCTGCTTCGCCTTATTCTCTGTCCAACTTGAACTCATTGAAGTATGCTTCTAAAGGATCGTGTTCTTTTAGGTCTCAAACAATCGGTTTTGTAGGTTTCAAGTCTTATTGTATTGTATTATGTTTCTGTGAGTATATCTTTTTGTTCTTCACCTCCACAAGTGATGTTTTACTTAAACGTTTGCTGGTCCCCAAAAGTCTGAGGTATGATAACATGGGTGTTTTCCAGGTCAATGCTGGCATTGTGCTGAACAAAGGAACAGAGGCTACTGCTATGGACATCGTGGAACACTGCAAAAAGAATTTAGCACCGTTTAAGATTCCAAAACGAATTTTCTTTGCTGATGAACTGCCGCGCACAGCCACAGGAAAGATCCAGAGGAGGATAGTCGCTGAACATTTTTTGAAAACTGCAGCATAAAAAGAGCCTCGAGAAATCTGAGGTGCTGACTTTCAAGCTTTAGTTGATAGTGTATCAATGGGATCATGTTTTAAGAGAGCAACGAAAGGAGTGTTCCCTTGGTGTAATTCTCAACGTGAATCTGCGATGTCATGGCTAATTCGTTGTCCAGATTTAGTTTCCAAGCGAAATTGGTTAAGCTTGGAATTCAATCTCTCCGTGTACCAGATTTGTTAATAAAAAAAAAAAAACAAAGTTCAGAGCGATTACATCGCCACTCGGATTTGCCATGACTTTGGATTTGAGATCGGGTCTGTTGTGGAGGTGGAGATTGGAGGCTTTAGATTAAGTTTTACTTCAAAACAGCTACTTCACAATTATTAGGAGATATTAGTTTATCCAAAACTTCTACAAATCTCATGGCAACACTCGTCAACTTACTAACTTAGGTGACAAGCGGGGATTTACAGCAGGTTATACCAGATTAATAGGATCTATGCAAGTATTATTCAAATATGTTCAAGTATGAGGTGACATATATTGTATGATTAGATGTTTCAAATATCTATTGTTGTTTGTCTACTGATGCTAGATCTAAAGGAAATATGTTTTGGAAGACTACTTTTCTTTTTGAGACAAGGGTTCTTTTTATATCTATAATAAAATAAAATAAATAAATAAATAAATGTTTTCATTGAATGTCACATCTTCGGTAATTCAAATCTTCTTCACACCGGGATGATAGCATCTGTATGCTTTAGACTATCATATAGTACTAATAAGTATTAAGTAGTTCTTGGGGATAGTTTAGAATCTTGGTATTTTTTTAATGTAGTGAACAAATTTTTTACAATTGATGGTTCTATGGAATGATACATTGAGTTGATTAGAAAGTTTCTGATACAATTTGTTGATTATAAAGTTTCTAATACAATGTAATTCTAGAACTAGCTCTTGTAGGGGATGAATTGATAAGGAGGATAGCTGTATTTAGTGCTTCTAACCATAGAGATGGTAGAAGATTTGTGTCAACAAACATTGTGTGTGCCCTGTTAAAAATTATTCAATTCTTTCTTTCAGAAACTTTATTTTTTGATAGTGTATTGGATATAATAAGATGCCAAGTGTTGCCATGAAATTTGTAGAAGGTAACAAATTTTGATGCCATGTTTTTTCTCCCTTGTTGAGATTGTAGAGATTGAATTTTGATGGTTAGAGTTTCTATGGATGCTTTGAATTCTTTGAATTGCGTTGAAATTCATATAGTTTTGGATCTAGCTTGCATAACCACCAAAAGACATCATTCCTTGGATCTTAATTGAACTCCAAATTTAGAATCTGATTAGCCACAAGCAAGATTTAGTTTAGACAAAACCACAATTGGTTTGGCTCCTTGATCAACTCCATATGTCATGAGAAATCCCGCACTATTAACCAATTTAGAACCAATTGAAGTTGAACCAATGATTCAGGTTAGTAGCAAAGTCCACCATATTCAAGGCAAAGACAATGTTTTTTTCAATTCTCTATAAGGATATTAAAATGAGTATTTAATGTCCTATATATCTTTGGTATTTACCAAAATTTATTATCTATTAAGCAACTTTTTTATTAAGATTATAGCCTTGAATTCATAGATAATATATATCTCATATGTAAGACCTCAACTTGCACTTTACTTGGCAAAGCCACTCATACTAGTGTCCAAGGTCTTTATAGGCTATCCACACCCATAATTGCATATTCTATTGTATTTTTTTCTTAAACGGACTTAAACTACTAAATTAATATTATTATGGAATTGACCCTTAAGTCATCTATACTTTGAAAGCCTATATAAGTTATCCAAGCAATATATTATATCAGATCTCTCGCGACTCTCATACATTATGTATATTTGGAAAATCTCCCAATCAAAGAAAGTTATATGGAAGAAATTTACTACCAGCTCAAGAAAATCTATAGTACCTTTATAATTGATGCATACCAATTTATATGGGCGATTTTACATACCAACTTCTAATAATGTATTATAATTTGTTACTTTCATTAATGATTTTAGCAAATACATTTGATGCTCTTTTATTAAATACAAAAATGCCATATTACAGGAGTTCAACAAATACAAAGTATATGCTAACTTATTCACTAGCCAAAAGTTATGCATAATAAGATCCAACAATACCAAAAAATATATTTTTCTCAGATTTACTAATTTTTGTGCATCTCCTAAAATTCATCATGAGATAAGTCAATTATAAATATCATAGAGCAATGTAGAAGCAAAAGAAAAAAATCAAAACATTGCCAAAAAATCAAAACATTGTCTATTCCATTGAAATCTTCTATGAAAAGACTTATGGTCAAAATCCATTTAAGTTGCAGTATATCTTTTAAACCAAAGACCAACAAGATCTCTTAATAGTGTAATTTCTAAACAAGCCTTTACTAATTAGTATTCCAACAACTTCCATTTACGCATATTTGGCACTAAAGTCTATATACATATTCCTAAACATTAATATAAAAAAATAGAAAAAATTGATTCTCTACATTTTTTATAATGGAATAAAAATAAAAAAAAATAAAAAAATAAAAAATAAAAAATAAAAACCAAAGAGTATGATTGATATTTTTTGATAAACCAAAAAAATCTCATATCAAGAAATGTTATATTTGATGAATCCATGATCTAGCTAAGCATACATAGAAATCATAAATCAACTACTATATTCAATTGGGTCATTGCTTTGAATATCAAAATATATGGATAATAATATATTTACACATCTTTATTCATTGCTCTTAATCAATCATTGATTTAATAATCAATATCAACTTTCACAACCTAAAATCAATCTAGTCACCATTTCAATTTTTATAAGATAATTTTCTACTAGCCATGGACTTATTAAATTTACTATTATTGCTAGTATCTAATTTGACTTCATCATATATAACAATCTCTTGTAGAAAGCCAAAACCTCTACATTTATAAATTTCTATTAATCAATGTTACTTTTTAATGATGCTTATATACTTTATAGCAAATCTCAAGGACGGTCTCACCTTTAATGAGGCACAAATTGGCTTGCACTAGGGAAAAAAAGCTATAAAAAAAATAAATAAACAGTATTCATAAGGTGAAAGCAAAAAATATATATATATATATTATTATGTTTTATTTATTATAAGAAGTTTGTATTGGATAGCAAAGGATGCAAATACAAAGCTTATCTTATAGCTTGCAAATTTTAACAAAGATTGGGCATTGATTTTGGTAAAATATTTGCTCATATTATTAAATAGAGTACATTAAAAGCTATTAATGCACTTGCTGGCACCAAAAGATGGTCAATTCATCACCACAATGTTATAACTACATTCTTAAACAACAAGCTCTAAAGACCTATTTAGAGAAGGCAACATCGTAGTTATATCATATCTGATTCTAAATACTTAGTATGTCTTTGTAGACATGCTTTCTATGGCTTGAAATAGTTGCTTCAATAATAATACAAAAACATCAGCATATTTTTATATACATATGGTTAGATTCAATCCACATCCAATGGCAATCTCTATTATATTACAAAAAAAATCTACTACAATCATCATATTCTTATATGTTGATAATCTCTTTATTACAAGCAATCATTTTAAAAACATATTGATTTTATAATAGTATCTTTATCAAAAAAATTACATGATTTATTTGGATCTTTGTAGCAAGTATTTTAGAATTTAATTTTAGTAGACTTCAAAAGGCGTGCGCCTCCACCAAGCTCACTATGCCAAAAGTATTTTGGCCAATTTTGGCATACTAGATTATAGTTTATATGCTACACTTCTATCATCAAGTCTTAAGATTAGATACAATACTAATATTATATTTTTTGATTAAATATTTTACCAACAAATGGTTGATATACTTGTATTTGTCACCAACAATAGATATAAAATTTTATATGCTATAAATCTACTATCATGCTACAAGGTGCATTTACTTGAAGTCCATCTTTATGTAGTCAAATTAATTCTCAAGTACATTAAAAGAATCTTGATCTACAATCTTTTATATTCTTATATGTCAAATTTACAATTCATTAGTTATAATGATGCAAATTAGAGGGGTGAATATGATAAAAATAAGTCCACATGAATATTTGTATTTACAATTGGTAAAATTTCTATACTCTAATATACATTGAAAGAAATTTATATATCATTCAATTCTATAGAATCTGAATATTGTGCCTTGTTTGATGCAACTAAAGAAGCTATTTAGATTCAAAAACTATATACAAGCTAGGATTTTTAAATCCTAATTCTATTATTATATTCTATGATAAATAAAATATAATTAGAATATCTAAGCATCCCATGTATCATTTGAAGACTAAACATTTTGAGATATAATTGAATTTTGTACAAGATATGGTTGACAGTATATATATATATATATATATATATATATATATAATATTGATAAATCAAAAACTAGTTGATATACTCACCAAAGCGCTTAGTCAAGCTAAATTCTAAGTATATAGAAGTCTATTACAGATTTCACCAACTTCTCAAACCATGAAACAATTCAATCTATGCAGATTTGAATTTAATAACAATAATTCAAATAATTCTCTACATATGTGTCACGGACATACACATGTAAGCCAATAATTACATGTATAAATAGGTAGAAGTAAGTAAAAGTAGGTAAAAGTAAGTTAATTCTATAATATTTTATATGGAAGCTTCCTAGAAGCTTCATAGACATTGCTTTGTCTTTATAAGTGACTTTAATTGGTTTTTTGGATTAGAAACGTAGTCAACAAGTTGGCCATGTGCCACACATGTTGTTAGCTTGAAGACCAAGCTAGTTATGTGGCCCACACGTAGAAAAACTTATCTTGTAAATCAAGGCATGTGTCCTACAAAGTCAACACATAATGGAGGTCCTATAGAACGTCGCCACGTAGCCTTTAGTTAGATAATATATATAGAGACAAGAGTAAAGCCTTCTTCACTCTTGTCAATTCCTTTCTTACTTCTAGTCTAGTTTCAAGGGTCTCTAATTTTCTTGTCTTTTGGCAATAACCATTCCAGTTTCTTTCTTAAAATACATATTAAGTTATTTCTATTTTTTCATCTTTCTTTGAAAGAAGTCTCACTTTTTTATTTATCTTTATTATGTTCTTGTGCTTAATAGATTGACAAGAGTACACTTATAATATCAGAGCTTTCTCTAATCTTGATTAAGAATAGATTATCCCTTTTTCTTGATAAG